ATGATTGCCAGCTAAACAAAACTTGTGGGAGAAAAAGGTTTATTTCACCCTATGGGTTACAGTTCATCATGGAGGCAAGTCAGGGCAGGAGCTCAAGGCAGGAGCCTAGAGTCAAGCTGAAGCAGAGATCCCAGAGGAGCACTGCATAGTGGCTTGCTTCTAGCTAAGTTCACATTCAGCTACCTTACTTATACAACCCTAAGCCCACCTAAGCCATCAAATGCATCCCCCAGACATGCCCAGGAGCCAATCTAATGGGGGCCATTCCCTGCCACTCCAGTTGTCTCTAGTTTGTGACAAAATGATCTGGCATAGGAGTTAAGAAGATGGGGAGGGGCTGGTATTTTGAAAATGTCAAGGGACAACACAAATGAAAACATAATTTACCCTTGGCTGATCTGCCATTTGGAGAAACCCATATGGAAGCCCCTCTCAGGGAGAGTCTGGGGTGTCTGCGGTGTGTTATATGCGGCCATGTGTGCAGGCTGGAGAAACAGCTCAGCATTTGCTCAGAAAGCATCTGGGCCTTTGGAACTTTCTTCAGGCTGTTTCCTCTCCCCTTCTAGTCCCAGCACCCCACATTTTGTAAGATTAAAGAGATGCCTGTCCAGTCTCCTCTTCAGGTCTCAGCCACCCTCCAGAAGCCCCCTTTGCCTCATGCCACACGCTGCAGTCCTGAGGAAAGAATAACTCCTATAATCTCTATGGTAATATTATGTTTGTGCTCTAACAAATAAGGCTTCCCTGGAAATCAGAGTGTGGAGTTAGCCATTAAAGGCCAGGCAGTGGTGGCACACACCTTTAATCCCAGCACTTGGGATGTCATTCCTTTGATCCCAGGTAGTAATATGGTTGGGCAGAAAAGGAATATAAGGTGGGCAGAGACAGGAGCCCCTTACCCATCTGAGGATTTTGCAGATGTAAGAACTCTAGTGGCTGGCTACTCTGCTTCTCTGATCTTTCATCTTTCACCCACTAATATCTGACTCAAGGTTATTTTATTATTAAGACCAATTAGAATTTGTGCTACAAATCTCTCTAGAGGAAAGGAGGACACACTACGTGTTATGACGCTCTTTGTAGCTGCAATGCAAACACTGGGGAAACAGATTAAAGGCAGAAACTACTTGTTTGGGCTCAGAGCTTCAGGGACTTCAGTCTGTGCTTGGGTGGTCCTATTATGTTAGTGCTGAAATAGGGCTGAACACCATGCATGCAGGAGCCTGTAAAGGAAAAAGGCTGTTCACTTCATTGTAGACAGGAAGCAAGCGGAGAGATTCTGAAGACCATGTGTACTTCAAAAGCCACAGGGCTTCGTCCCCTCACCCAGCCTTGCCTGCTAAATTCCTACCATTTCTCAAAGTAGTGCCACCAGCTAGGGACCAAGCATTCAACACCCAAGCTTGTGGGGGACATTAAGGTTCAGACAAAAGTTGGCACACTGAACTGGGTTGTTTGTTTTTGCCTCGGGCACACTGATACTCAGGATTGAGCTTGCCTGTGTACACTAGACAAGTGGTCTACCACTGAACTACAACTCTAGAATTTATGTTGTCTGTGATCTGCTTTGGATTCATCAGGAAGGGAAAGAGTAGGTTTCCTTCATGCTAGACCTGCCTTGTCCTCTGCTGACTGAACCCAGGAAGGGAGGCCCTGGGACTGTAGTCTACTGTTTCAGAGTGAGGCTCACTTCACCTCATCAGCTGCTGCTGTATCCCTCCTAAAACAAGGAGTGGGGATTTCCTGTGGGCAGCTGTGAAGTCTGTGAGCCCAACAGAGAACGTGTGTGTGTGTGTGTGTGTGTGTGTGTGTGCGCGCGTGCATGCACGTGAGCACCGCGCGCGCGCACACACACACACACACACACACACACACACACAAACTCTTTCCACTTTCTCCCTCTCCATCTCGCTCACATTCCAGATACGACAGCTGTTTCTGCTTTACTGGCTACCGGTCTGGGTTGGGTGACTCTTTTGGGAAGAGGGGATTTGTGTGTGTCGTTGTGTTTCCCTAACAGGGATCATGTTTCCCTAAAGAGAAGACTTGGCCAACTCCCCTGATACACATACCATGGTGAGGAAGCTTTGAGGCATAAAGAGCAGTGCTGACTCAGATTAAAAACGGGCACACATCCAAATGGTGAGCTCAGTCTATGTGTTTGCAAATCAGTTGCAGTAGCTTTGGACAGTCTGGGAGAGATCTGTGTACTCAGTGTGCTAGGTTTGCTGCCCTGCCTGGACGTACCTCTTCACTAACCTGGAAGAGGAAGCCGTAGGTGAGAAGAGACATTCTGCTACCTCAGCCTTGCAAGTTTCTGACTTGATTGCAGTGATGGGCGTAGTCTGCCCAAGCAGTTGTTGCTAAAAGGGGTGGGAAGGGAGCCTGACCTCCAGCTGCCACGGAGGAGGTACTTCCTCCAGCTGGTAACCAAGCTTCCACGATAGCATATTTGAGACGAACTTTCCCCCAAGAGCCCTGAGCCCAGAAGAAATCAGGGTGGGGCCAATAGAAATCAGATGGTGAGAAAATTAACAGCTTCTAGGAAAGGGCTGTGAAGCTTCAGAAATCATTGCACAGGAAACCCCTGGACTACAAATGACTGCTGTGGAGCCCCCAACTCTTTCGGTGGCTCGTGAGTCAGTGTGGTGTGTGCCAAGAATGGAAACTTAAGGATAGGGTATGTTAAATAAAATCAAACTTAGGAAGGGAGAGATTGTCATTCGAAAGAAAGATTATGGTCATGGGCAAAATGGTCCAGTGTCAAGACTCTGCAAGCATCTCATTCAAACAGAAGAACAAAGGGGAGGAGCTTGTCTTTCTGTGACAGAGGAGAGACAAACAGAACCAGACAAAATGTGGAAGAGAAACTGACAAACACTTGCAATGCCTAGCCAAGCAAGGGAAAGTTCTGGCTGGCATCAGTCACTTCCCAGAAGCTGGTGAAAGCAGGCTGGGGATGCTCAACTTTGTGTGTGCTCTGACCTGAGGGAAGCCAAGCTGGAGAACCAGTAAGGGAAGAAAGAACCCTGAGCAAATGAAACAGAGGGCCAGTCATGGGCAACAGTGGACACCCAGTTAAAGACAAGAAAGGACACGGTAAGGAGGCTAATATTGCTATAGATAGTTCTTAAAGGTAAAATTATGGCTGTTGCCATACTGATATAAAATGAACACATTTCAAAAAATTTGACAAATATCAGTGGAGCAAGCAGACATGACTCATTTTGTTTGTGCTTTTGTTTTGCTTTGTTTTGTTTTGTTTTAGATAGAGTCTTACTGTGTAGTCCTAGCTGGCCTGGAACTCACTTTGCAGACCAAGCTGACCTGGAACTCAGGCTGACCTCAGGGAGATCTGCTGCCCCTGCTTCCCCAGTGGTGGGATTTAAGTGTGTGTGTGTGTGTGTGTGTGTGTGTGTGTGTGTGTGTGTGTGTGTGTGTGTGTCACCATGCTCAGCACCAGGCACATGTTTCCAGCTCAGTGGTGTATGGAGCTTCATAGCCCTTTCCCACACTGTTATTTTTTTTCCCACTGTCTGATTTCCATTGGCCCCACCCGGATTTCTTCTGAGCTCAGGATTCAAAAAGATAAGTAGGAGACAGTAGGCATGCCTCATGCACAGGAGAGAATAGTGAGTTGACAGTGCAAACAGACAAACTCTGGCATTGCCTATGCAGAAAGGACGCTTTGATCCCTCCAGGAACAGTCGTTTGCTTATCACATAGATATTTTAAGTTGCTACAGTTACCTACAACTTCCAGAGTTACAAACTAACTCAGAAACAATGCTGGAGGGAGGCTCCAAACCGTGCTTCCTGAGTCTGGCACAGAGAGACATTTCAGACTGCATTGTTCTTGCTCTTCACACTGTAAAGCACTGACCTAGACCTGCTAACCCTGTAGTAGCATCCTTGCCTTCCACTCAGTAGAGGCCAGGAGCACCCACCTACCAGAATGTCTGCAGTTATGGTCAGAAGCCGCTTGAGTCACATGGGTGGGTGGGGGTTGCCCCCCCCCAGTTGAGAACCCCTGCTTTAAACCATTCACAGCACAGGCAGATACTAAGCCCTCCCAGTATTCATTCTGGAAGCATGTTGTCTACACATGAGTTGCAACTCAGGAACTCTCCCTCAACAAAATGGCGGCACCAGTCACCAACAAGGGCTCTATTCCAAATGCTCGCCCAGCATTAACTCAATAAACCCTCCCAGGTAAATCAGAGTTTTAGATATGTATCACATGTTATTCTAGTATAAGTTTGTCTCGGGTGATATTTGAGGGCTGCGCACACTAAAACCACACTTTTTTTTTTTTTCCTTTGCTTGAAATTCAGATTTAACCTGGATGGCTGGTTTTTGGTTTTGTTTTCCAAATTGCACTAATAACTGTCCCGTAACGGCAGAGCCTTAGAATCTCTGCTCTGCCCATGAGTGATTAGCTTTAACTCATGGGGTTACATCATTGCGCTTCTACGGGACTCAGTTTCTCATCTATAAGATGGGTACACTGGCAGCCACTTCTTCAGAATCGCGCGTGTTGCCATGCCCAGAGCCTGCAGAACTGTTAGGAACCAGGGCCGGTGAGTAGCAACTGGGTTATGCTCACAGTGCTATTGACTCATCCGATGTTTTCCGGGCAGTCTTTGCTGAGTTTCGCCCACCCTTGCTGGCTGGGGTTTGAGTTTCAACTTTTCCACCCCAATTTGCGATGAGTTCCTCCCCCCCCCCTCCCCGCTATCGGGCCACGCCAGCCATCCCGGGAAGCGTCCGAAGGTGGCAGCAGCGGGGCCCCGCAGTCAGTCCTCCACGATTGGCCTGGCGCTGTGCAGGTCGCGCTGTGCTGGCTGCGTCCGGGACCAAGCCTCGAGCAGGCCGGGAGAAGCGGAGGCCACACCCCGCGGCCCAGGCGCTTCCCGCCGGTGAATCATCGCCTGCAGCAGCGGCTCGGCTCCTGCAGTCTGCTGCAGCGCCCCGGGCCCGGCCGCACCCCAGCCGAGTACAGCGCTCCGCGCCTCCGCGAGCCCTCTCCCTGTGCCGAGAGCCGGTCCGATTGGTACCATGGCGGGCATTGCAATCAAACTGGCCAAGGACCGCGAGGCGGCCGAGGGCCTGGGGTCGCACGAGAGAGCCGTCAAGTACCTCAACCAGGACTACGAGATGCTGCGGAACGAGTGCCTGGAGGCCGGGACGCTCTTCCAGGACCCTTCCTTCCCCGCCCTGCCGTCCTCTCTGGGCTTCAAAGAGTTGGGGCCCTACTCCAGCAAAACTAGGGGCATCGAATGGAAGCGGCCCACGGTAGGAAGCGCTCGGGGACCGGGCGGGGCCGGGAAAGGCTGCAGTGGAAGGCTGCGAGCGGGACTCGGTGGTGCTGGCTCGGTAGCCCTGGCTGGGTAGTGCTGGCTCGGTAGTGCTCCATGATTGCTGCTAAAGGGACTCCAGATGCAGGCTGTGGCCCACCCAGTGGACCTGCCCTCAGCTGGCCCAGAGCTTTTCGCAGGACAGGATCCCAAATCCCACTAGCGGGCACGCCCTGGAGGCCGCCTTTGGCTTCACAAAGCCTCCGGGACACACGCCGCTGGGATGAAACTTTTATTGGACTGTAGTGGCCTTAACCACTAGAGGAGGGGTCCAAGGTCTGCTGTGGTTGTGGTGGTGTTGGGGTTCCGAGTAGGGTAGAAGACTCTGGACTGCTCGGGGAGGCAAGTGAGGGCACAGCCTGGCGCTGGCTTACATAGGTGGCCACAAGTATCTGTGATGGTTGGATTTATCCAGTTTGCATCTTATTTATTTCTCAAAGTGTAACTAGCGGGACCCTCCCACCCCATATTTCCCGGGGCAACTTAACAAAGAATTGAAAGGCTCCAAGGATCCTGATGCTACTTTGCTGGCCCAGAGTCCTCAACTGGGAACCTTTGTCCCACTCCCAAATGCTCTTGTGCCAACCCTCAGGGTCTCAGCCCTTAAGCTCTCCCTGTTCCCTTGTAGTTTCAGCCCCCAGTGGAAGCCCTGCTGGCCCTCATCCCATGGAACCCTCACTAGGCTCCTCCAGGGAGCCTAGAGGAAATCTAGATCCCTGTTAGGACACTGTTAGGACATTCATGCCCTGCTTCCATACTCTTGATCTTCCCAGGCTACTTTTGCTACCCTGGATCCAGCTCAAGATCTAGAAAGTACCCTAGGATAGTCAGGTACTCAACAGCCCCAAGAATCACATAAAATCAGGTGCTTGGTAATGTATGCCTATAATCCCAGCACTTCGGAGGTGAAGACAGCAGGATCAGCAGTTCAAAGCTGGGGGCCACTGAGATGGCTCAGTGAGTAAGGGCATTGGCTGCTAAGCTTAATGGTCAATCTATCCCAGAACCCATGTGGAAAGAGAACCAATTCCCCAAAATTGTCCTCTGACCTCCACATGCACACTGTGGCACACATGTGGACTCCTGCAGGCACACACACACACACACACACACACACACACACACTAAATTAATAATAACAAAAATAACAATAATAATAGACAAAAGGTCAAAGCCAGCCTGGGCCACATGATAACTTGGCTCAAATTAAAAAGATAAATAAAAAAGAAAACCAGAAAAGTCTCCGTAGAGCCGGATCCTATGCACCTGGGTGCCCTGGGTGAGTCACAGTTCTCTGTTCCTCACCTCAGCTGGGCGTGGCAGTACACACCTTGGTCCCAGCCCTCGGGACACTCCATGGCTTTGGCTGTTTAGTGAATTCGAGGCCAATCTGAACTACAAAATGTGACTTGTATCAAATTAAATGAATAAGATAAGAAGGAAACAAGCGAGGCTTCTGTTTCCTCTCTTGTCCAGCACACTAGGGGCAGCTGCCACAGCTGCTTTGGTTTCCCAGAGACACCCCGTTCTTTTCTCTTGCCCTTCTCACCTGCCAGGCATGCTCTGCCCCCACCCCAAGTCTAGCCCATTTACATTCTTTGGGACTTTGTCACAAGTCTCCTCCCCAAAGAGTCTTTCCTGGCCATTCTTAGCAGACCTTCTCCACCCTGTTCTCTGCCCTGTACTAATTTCTGCCCTGATATTCTCACCCTGAATCAATGCAGTCACATATGTTTTCTTGTTCTGCAGAGCTGGTGTGTGTCCTTTGCCCTTGTGGTCTCAGAGTCTCACCAGAGAATTGTCCCTTCTGGATATTCACTCATGCATCCATTCATAAAGTGCTTATTCTAGGCCAGGCATCGAGACACCCATGAACAACCAAAACAAAACAAAACAAACAAAAAAACAAAGTCACTGACTATTTGGAAAATGGATGGATGGATGGATGGATGGATGGATGGATGAATGAATGAATGAAGGAACAATCATTGTGAGCCTTGAATGATATCCTTGCTGGGGAAGTGATTCACAAGCAGGAGAATATGTGCTTTACATTTGTATGTGGTTTTACTACTTACTCTCTATCCTAGTTTCATCTCTGTGGCAATGATAAAACACCCTGATCAAAAGTGACAGGAGGGATGAAAGGGTTCATCGGGCTTACAATTCCAGGCTCCAGCACATCATTACTGATGGAAGTCAGAGCAGGGACTCCAGCTGTACATGAGCTCCACAGTCAAGCACAGAGATGATCAAATGCCACATGTTATTTGCTTGTACCTGGCTTTCATCTGTTCTGTATAGACTCCCCTGCCTAGAGAATGGTGCCACCCACAATGGGCTAGGTCTTCCTACACCAATTAGCACTCAAAACAATCCCTCACTGACAGAACCATGGGCCAACCAGATCTGGATAATTCTTTGAAACAATTCTGCATGACTCTAGGTGGAGGCAAGATGACATTTAAAAACGCCCCTCTACATACACCCTTTCTGTCAACCTTCCATTCAGTCAATGAACACTTATTGAATGCCTATTATATTCCAGGCAGTATGCTTAGCGTCTGTCTCTGAGGGCCAAACAGAAGGGAACAGGCGATAGCGCCTGTGGCCTTCTGGGTTGGATACAGAGATCTAGAGCCCCTTCAGGGAAACTGCCTAGGGCTGGCAGGCCATGCATCACACAACCATTCTACAGTTGGGGAAACAAGCTCGGGAATGTCAAATCTGCTCAAAGCAAAATAGGAGTGGAGCCAGGGCTGGGCTAGCTGCCCTCTGTCCCCACCTGTCTTGTCAGATCCTGGTGGGGACAGGCAATGGGACCAAAAGAAAAAAAAAAAAGTACACACTGGATGCATTAGCCAGTCATTGGAGACAGGAAAAGAGCAATGCCAGTGGACAGTATGGGGTTGGAACCAGGCAAAGTGAAGTGTGTGTGTGTTTCAATCATTTAAGAAGGATGTGTAAATGACAGGAAGAGGAGAGGGAGAGGGAGGGAGAAAAGGAAGAAGAGGGAGAGAGAGGGAGGGAACTGTTCAGCCATGGGCAACTTGAGTTTTTTAGAGGTTGAGTCATGAGATGAAGGGATCAAAGATGACTTCCAGAGAAAGAATGAAACAACCCATGAGGAAGAGAAAGCAATCTAGGGAGGGGGCGTGCTGCTAACTCTTCCTGAGAGGATGTCATAAGAGACGAGCAAGAGAGACGAGAGAACACGACCACAACCATACTGAGGGCAGGGGCCAGTGCCAGGCCACAGTGAGGAGTGCATGGCATCACCCAAGCCTGGCACATCAGGTCCTCCCAGCTGTCATTTATAGAGTACTTGGCAAGGCCATCAATGTTCATCTCACCTGACCCCGATGACAGTCTCTGTGAGTGGTACATTTGTCTACAAACCCATTTGACAGATGCAGATCACGCTGCGGGGCATCCAGTAACCCACCAACATCCTAGAGCCTATGCAATAAATGGCAGCACCAAGATGCTAGCTTGCTTATTAGAATCCAAGGCCCGAGTCTTCCCCTCCTCTCTTCTACTGCTACAAGGCTACATCAGTGTTTAATTCCAGGCTCCACAGGCTGTGGCCAGTTTTCTCAAGTATCTTTGGGCTGTGAAGTCTGAACTTTGGCTTCTCTGGAGACTCTGAGGCAGTTTCTGAAGTGTGATTGGTAGCCCCAACCTGAAATGGGAGCTTGGTCCCTGGATAAGTAGTGTGAGCCCAGGCCACACCACCCCAGGGTTAAGTGCTTGCCTGGCGGTTCTTAGGAAAAGTTGGCTTCCCTGCCTGGGCAGAAGTGCTTTCTCACCATCCCTTCAACCTCCAGGCAGACTGATGGGGAAGCCGGAAGGGAGCATGCTCTGTGAGCTGGTGTGGTGCCGGGAGGCTGCCAGGATGGTCCAAGATTAGCACCAGCTCTCACCCAGGGAAGACCTCTGTAGACAGAAGTGTGCCAGGGGACAACTCTGTGCAGATGTGGTGCTCCTACAAACCAACATCTCTGAGTGAAAAGCAGCTCGGATTTGGGCCCTGACTTCCTTTGTGGCTTTTGGGTGGAGCTCTTCAGAATCGAGAAACACATTCAGGGGGCTGCTGGAGGGGGAACAACCCCCAGAAGAGGCACGGGGTGGGGTGGGGTGGGGTTAGCAGCAAACAGCAGGAGCAGACAGTTTGCACTTGAGCCCAGTGAGTTCAAATCCCAAGGGTCTCTACCACTTGGGAGCCACGAAGTTTGAACAATCACTTTACTTCCTGAGCTGCTACACACACACACACACACACACACACACACACACACACACCACGAGGAGCTGACACTACCCCGAGTTCCTCAAAAGGCTGCAAGAGATAAGGCTCCATGCAGTGTCTGCACAGCAGGTGCAGGGTGCATGAATTCTCCAAGTTCTGTGAGAACTCCGAAGGGCTGGATCCAGTCCCCTGTCCCCAAGAAGCATGTGTATTAGAAAGATGGAGGAGTGGGTGGTACATGCCTTTAATCCCAGCACTCGGGAGGCAGAGGCCTGGTCTATAGAAAGATGGAGGAGTAACCATGAATGCCACACAGGTCTAGTAACCATGAATGCCACAAAGACTCCAGGATGGGACTCAAAGGGAAGAGTGGAGCTAAGTGAGGAGGAAAGGCTTCCTCGTGTAGGGGAGGAAGAAGAGACTTGAAATATGAATGGTTTGGAAAGGGTAGGCAAAGGAGGAATGCCATGTAAGCCCAACCACTTGCATGCAGGCTCAGAAGAGAAGGTGCCAGAATGGTGGGCAGGGGGCACTTAGCATGGAGGGTCTCAAAACCTGGCAGAGGAAGCTGGATGCACTCACTGCCCTTGGTAATGGAGCCAACTGCATGTTAGAAGGGATCCACCCCCCACATTAGGGCCAATGGAACAGGGTCAGATGGGTAGCACAGAGGCCTGACTATAGAACTCTCCTCAGAGCAGAGCAGCATGAGGAGGAGGGGCTGGAGGGCCCACAGGGAACTGGGGCTCCTGCCTGCTGTTGCTGACCATGCCCTGTGGGTTTGTTTCCAGGAGATCTGCTCTGACCCCCAGTTCATTATTGGAGGAGCCACTCGCACAGACATCTGCCAAGGAGCCTTGGGTAAGTAGTGGGGTCTGGGGCAAGCTGTGTCATGTCAACTGCAAGTTCTGTGGCTTCTATTCTTGATCTGTGTGGTGACTTCCATTTCCAGAAGCTCCCCGAACCTCTGGCCTCCTGGGGATATCCCCCAGCCAGTCACAATGCTAAGATGGAAGTTCTGTGAGGTCCAAGGCAGGCCCCCAAGAGGAGGCAGTGACTCAGTGTGACAGAAGGGGAAATCTCACAGCTTAGAGGAAGTGGGGAACACCAGGGCCAGCCTTGCAGGCAGCTAGCTCCCTGCAGGCTCACCATGGAAAGCAGTCAGGGCTGTGAACACTCACACAATTGTAATGTTCATGTAATTCAAACTAACCCAAGCATCAATCAAGATTGGGAGGGCCATGGATTAGGGCTCCAGGTTCCCCCACTTCATTCTGGAGTTTCCCAGGCCTCTCTGAAGAAGTCTCAGCAGGGAGACACTACCCTCTTTTTTCCTACGCATAATAAACATGGGCCTATAATTATTGGAGTAGATTATTTGCTCTGATAAACCAGAAGCCTCAACTGGCTTCCCAAACAAGTCCACTGTAACAGAACCAACCAGCTAGAATTCATCACCTTCCCATGCCCTCTTCACAGGGCTTCTGATCTCTTAATTATGGCAGCACTATTTACTAAGCCAGTCACTCAACCATGCTTGCCCACCCTCCAAGATACCCCTGGTGACTTATTTTACAAATGAGCACGCTAAAGCCAAACTGTAGCCAGAGAAGAGGTCTGGTGTACAGACACATCTGGTCTGACCCCAGCACTAGTGTGCTAAGTACCAAGGTGACCTCCCTAGAAAGAGGCCGGCAAAAATGTCACCTGGTGGGGGATATCATAGCCTGTGAAAATCCTCAGGACAGGACAACCTGTAGGGCAAACAGGATCCAGACCTGTTGGAACACGGCTATGCTGAGTGCAGATTCCTAAAATGCCAGGGAGTTTTCTCACCTGCAGAAAACAGGCCTCCCCGCTCTGCTCTCTCCCCAGGAAAGAGCAGACTAGTATCCCAGCAGCATAAGGTGAGTGTGCTGTGAGAACAAGCCTCTGACTCAAGAAAGTGGAGATGAGAAGGCTGGACGTTGATTATGACAACCTGGGGGTTTTTGAGAGATCTAGAAAAAGCAGCAGCTCCTAACACCACTTGTAGCCTAAACAGTGACTTCAAAAGTCGGAACACATAGTAAGCACCCAAGTTAAGTCCCATTTTAACTCCACCAGGCAGTTTAGGGAGGGGCCATTAGGTTAAACTCCTGGAAGAAATTGTTTGCTATATGTCCAGAACTGAATGAAAAAAAAAAAAAAACAAGAAATATAAACCTTCCTAGACTTTCTTGGTCATTGATCTAATGTTTAAAGTCTTTGAAGGTCCCAGATTAGCCGTTTCTCTTGGTTGTTTATTCTGGAAGATTCTAATGAGACTGTGGGTGGCGAAATGTGGTCTGCTGAACTCTCTCCCTTTCTTTGGCTTCTGGGCATGAGGTCCTAAAGGGGTGGTAACATCCCCAAGTCCCAAAAGGCTCAGAACTGACAGAGTGGGGTTGTGGCAGAGACAGAAGCTCAGAAGGGTTGGTGACAACATCCCCAAGTCCCAAAAGTCAGAAGCAACAAAGAAGGGCTGTGGCAGAGACTCTGGCTTCAGTAATGTCAGTAGATAGGGAACTTGGCCCAGGCATCACTTGGAACCCCAATCTTCCCAAACTGCAGAGGGAAGGAATGTAAATAAGGTGACATTGGAACCCACTGAGATGTGGCATCCAGTCCTCTAAAGCTGTTCTTGCTGGAACAATGGTAGAACACTTGACCAGCACCCATGAATGAAGTCCTAGGTTCAAGTGGCAGCAACCAATCAATCAATAAAATCAAGCCATTCCCTGTTCATGGTTAGCAGTTCCCCACTCCTTGATCTGGTGTGTGAGCAATAATTATTATCACCTGAGAAACAGTGTGTGACTCAGGCAACATTGGTTTTGTTTGTTTTGGTTTCATTATCATATGTAACCATCCCAAGTAGATATATTTTAAAAGACATGTATTTATTTTATGTTTGTAAGTGCTCTATCTGTAAATATGACTTTATGCCAGAAGAGGGCATCAGATTCCACTAGAGATGGTTGTGAGCCACCATATGGGTGCTGGGAATTTAACCCAGGACCTCTGGAAGAGCAACCAGTGCTCTTAACTGCTGAGCCATCTCTCCAGCCCCCGAGTAGATACTTTTATGCCTGCTACACAGCTATGAAAATGGAAGTTTAAAGAGAGAAGGGTCCATATAAGGCTGCCCTGACCTTTGCCTGAGCCCCGGTCTGATGCCAGGTCCTATGCTCACTTTAGAACCCCACACAGAGTCTGAATCCACAGTGCTGAGCTGAGCAAGGATGGTCCATTTTCTCCATTTGTGCCTCCTACCCCAAATGCATTCACTGACCCAGTGAGCCTGCGCGGACGGCATCCTTAGACTTGTGCACATCCCAGCATCGGTTCACATCTTTTACTGTGCTGCCCTGAAGTTCTTTACTCGCATTCTCACCTGTTTTGGTAGAAGGCTTAGCTTCCAAATGGTTCGAACCGTGTGTGCGTGCACGCACCCACACAGCATACAGAGGTGTTCCCACCATGAGCCACCTGCACTGCAGAACGTGGCTGGGCCAGGCATCGACTCAGCAGAGAACAATCTACCCTTCCTCAAGGAAGGCTGGATATGAAAGACTGAGTCTCAGCCAGACTGGCCCAGAGAGAGATCAGACGCTCTGTAACTGCTGACAGTGACTGAGCCTGTGCCCAGCGGCCTCTGGCATCCATCGTGAGTGTAAGGTCCCTGCTGCTGCCACAGCTGTTCAAACCGACGACCTGTGCTGTCTGGGCCCTTGAAGTGAGTCTCTTTGCCTTCATCTGGCTACCAGAAGACCCACCAAGAGGTGTCTGGCCACAGCCTCCTAGTGTTTCCCTCGTGGGAGAGGCAGAAGGGCGACAGCTCAATGGGAAACGTGCACCCGAAGGTGGAGTTTCCAGTCTTATGCCCTCCACCACTTACTTAGTAGACTTTATGATCTTGGGCAGGCCACCCAACTTTGGAGATCGTTAGTTTTCCCTTCTGTAATAATGGGAATACAAAAAGTCTCCCCCCGCCGAGTTAACAACGGTTCAACTTAGCCTTCTTCAACTTTGCAATGTTGGGTAGCACACACACACAGGCAGCAGAAACCACACTTTGGATTTTGTTCTTTTCCTGACTAATAACTTGCATTCTAGAACTCAGTCACAAATGCCGGAGGGTGATAGTGAACTACAGGTTAAGTCAACGATTTAATGATGAGAGGAAATATATGGTGTTCTGGGGACACTCAGCTGCATGTGTTAAATTACATGAGACATTCAACATTTTGTAATAAAGTAGCCTTGTGTTGGGGGACTTTGCCCACCTGTGGGTAATGTAAGTGCTCTGGGGACATTTAAGGGAAACTAGGCTTTGTATTCATTGTGTGCATGAGCATTTGTGCATGCTTGAGCACTCATGTGCACGAACACACACACACACATGCAATGGATTTGTTGGGATGTGATTCATGGTGGATGCCTTACTTTCCCTGTTTCTATGGAAAAACAAAAACCAAAATGAACAAACCAAACCCTTATTAAAAACAACTTAAGGGTGAAAGCGTTGATTTTAGCTCACAGTTCAAGAATACAGAACATAGTGCTGGAGCCAAAGTGGCAGGAGCTGTGGGCAATGGTCATGCCATGTCCACAGACAGGAACAAAGAGTAACAAACGCAAGCTGCTGTCCAGCTCTGTTTATACAGTTACACAGCTCAGGATACCAAGCAGGCAATGGTGGGTGAGTTTTCTCACTTCAGTATAATCTAGATAACCCCCAGAGGCCTATCTTCTAGGTGGTCCTAAAGTCTGTCAAGTTGACAGTTAACTTTAACCATCCCAGTAGGCCAAAGAGCATCTATGATGAAAATACATGAGGGCTAGAGGAAAGTGAGTGTAACGTAGGGGCCAGAGTTAGCACACTGGAGAATCCTAAAGAAGTTGAAGGGGGTATGGACCATAATGGAGCCCAGCAAGTCACCAGGGAGAGATAAGTTGGGTTAGCAGCAGAGTGTTTGCCCTTTGAAGAGCTCAGGGTGCATGTGCCAAGGTGGGAAAGGCGTGCCCAAGTCTGGAGTAGTCAGAAGCTGGAAATGGGGGAGAAGGAAGCAAATTGGGGCAGATGCTCACTCTTCACTTTGTGAGTTGAACTTTCAAATATTCTAAACAACTAAAAAAACGAAAGATTTTAAGTCTGAAAGTAAATCATTAAAGAAAATATCTGGAACTCACAATGTAGCTCAGGCAGGCTGTTGACTGGAGACCTACATGCTGGGTTCCTGTTCTCCACTTAGTACATTGTATAAAAAGGAGGATTGGTTAGCTTAACCCACTGAAGTATCCAACACCCATTTCCTAGTTACTGTCTTAAAAAAAAACAAAAAAACAAAAACAACACATGTCATTATTATCATTATTATTGTTGTTGTATGTTTGAGACAGCATCTTGCTGTGTAGCCCAGACTGGCCTTAAACTTGCAGCAATCCTCCTGCCTCAGCTTCCTGAGTGCTGAGATTACAGATGTGCCCCACCATGCCCAGTTTTATACTCCAGATGCTAGGATTATAGATTGTGCCACCATGCCTGGACTTCTTACTTATTTATTTGTTTTAAAAGGTTTGCTATGTAGCCCAGGCCTAGAACTCGTATTTATCCCACCCTTAAACTTGCAAACCTCTTGCCTCAGTCTTCTGGGTGTTGAGCTTACAGGAGTACCCTCATTCCTGGCTTAAAATGTTAAGTTTTTAATTCTTTACACACACACACACACACACACACACACACACACACACACACACGGGTTTCTGCACCTCTCTCTCTCTCTCTGTGGTGTGTGTGTGTGTGTGTGTGTGTGTGTGTGTGTGTACACCTTGTTCAT